GGGGGGGGGGGGGGGGGAGATGGATGTTATGATGTTATGAGACGGTTCTGGAGAATAACTTTAAAGCTGCTGTTTACTGTGCAGCGTCAAATGCTTGCACTAACCCTTAGTTGACTTTTGGAAATGTTCTACATATCCCATGTTGGAAGTGTAAAGTTTATATTGAGCTTCGTTGAAAACATTTTATTTATTGTAAAAAGTATTTATAAAATAACTATTTTCCTATATGTTTCAGGGTATTTAGTTCATAAGGATATTGTTAAGATTTGTTGTGTGTTTAAATACCATGTTTTTCTGAATAGCTTTTGCCACTCGCCATTTTCAGCACAAATTTTGTCTATTTAGTGCTACTTATTAAACAACTAAGTAGATACCATTCTTAGCAAACTGGGGGGAAGGGGTTTGCTATTGTATGAGACATTACTTTGTAATTCATTATGACAGTCAAGCTGTGTGTTCTTTTAAGGATATTATAAAATAGTGGGTTTGTTCCTGTTGAGGAAAAGGTAGCGCCAACTCTTTATATACAGTATCTTTCCCTCTTTATCCCCGATGGTGAAACAGTAAGCTGAAATTGGTAATGTGACTATTTCTTCTTGAAGTTTATGGTGTAATCTAAGAAGGAAGATATGTCACATAGGTAGCTGAGCCGCTAACGTTAATTATTGGACTGTTCGTTTTTACAGTGCATCAACTACTTTTTGTACCTGAATAGATCCAGCAGTTTTAGGGACACCGTTCACATACAGCAGGGCCGACTTTTTCATGTGATATATGTTAAAAGCACTGTAGGGGAGAAAAACGTATATCACACACAATGGATTCTTTTGTCACCAGAGCCACTTCCATTCTGCTTACTCCTAGGCAGTCCTTGGCATAATGAGGACAAAGCAAATACAGAATGAATCTTGATGTCCTCCCGGCCGGCAAGGCAAATGTTGTGTAAATAACTAACATCCAGGCAGATGGGACTTTTCTACCCTTTTTTATTTTTTTGAAAAATTTCCTGGGCCATTAACAGCTGCATAACCAGCTGAAGCACAGCGGCAATGTACTGTTGGTGTCTTTATAGAGATCTTTGTACGGCATGCTGTTGTTAAAGGCAAAGAGGGTCTATCAGACTGAAAAGTTGGCAGCCCCTGCACCATTTATGGAAGCAGCCTTTCCATAGTTAGAATAGGGCCTGAACATTTCATTGCCAGAGGGGTTGTTTTTGTTAAAGAGCCGGAAGTACTAAAACCGTTCCATCGTGGAGACCTGCTCAGATATGGGTTACTTACTGAAAAGGAGGCATAGGCTGAACATAGTGGAAAGCCTTTGTTTTTCAGTCTGTAAAGGAAGGAGCAGGCGCATGTGGGACGTCAGGAAAGGCTGCACAAGAGCACCGAGGTCTGGTGTTTATGCCCGTAGATCTATGAGTCTCAAGATTAGGGTTTGGGGTTTTTTTAAATTACAATTTAGGCGTTTGAATCCAAGAAAATAATAATTCTAAGCTGTGAAGATCAGACTACTCCATCTATCAGGAACCATTCACTGGCAGACTTGACTAAAATTGCAACCCATTTGGGAAGTCGTCGTACACCAGCTTTGTGGAAATGAACAGAAACACAACGATACTCTCAGAAAGCTCCTGAGCGTGTATGACAGAACAACTTCCTTTTCAGTTGGAATTGTCCCTGGTTTGAGAAGACGCTCTATACGTATAATGTTCTTGAAATTTGCATGAGAATTCTCTGCACTTCCAGATGGCACTTAAGCAACCGGTTGGCCTTGTCCCTATGGCCAGCATCCTCTTGGCGATTGGGGCAGGCCTCAGTTTAAGTTGTGCAACTCACTGCGGTGAATTGCTACCAACGCACAGGATGGCAGTCGTGTTTCCGGGTTTATCTCTGTTACACACTCCAGTGCACGCCTGAAAAGGCAACTTGTTAATTTGGGGCAATTTGTGATGCTGAATGAATGCAATTTAGCTTGAACACAGGTAAATCGGCAGGATTCTGGCCTATGTTGTCATCCAGTAAAATCCTGTTCAGGTCAAAGTTCGGGTAATTCCCCAGGAATTCCACTCTCTGCATCAATGACAATTTCAGATGAGCTAGGAGAATCAAATGAGATAACTCATATGTTTCTTTTAGGGTGATTGTGTTCAGAATCACATTCAAATAAAAGTGCCTTTATTGTTGTACTTTCGTTCATATTTTATGTAACCTGCAAAAGTCTGTGGATTTTCCGTCTTGTGAAATAAATTACTTGGAGATTGCTTTGCCTCTACTTGCCTTTATGCTCAACGGGAGCACGTTCTCCCCAGTTAACTATCCATGCGCAGGCAAAACAGTAGCACCCACCCACACTTTTGCATCATCCGCAGTTCAGGCAAATGTGAGCAAAAGGAATCAAAAGTATGGGGAGAGCAGCCCAAGGAAGATTGAGTTTCCAGGATGTGGAGGGGAGGCAGGAGACGGAAAACGGAAGGGAGGGGGAAACGGAATGGAATATTTCAGAATTTTGGAGGTCATTTGTAGGTTGCCAGGACTTGAGAACACAGCGCAACACATTGGCAGAACCTGGCATGGCTGGCAACGTTTGGGGCAAAATCCTAATTCTGCTGGGGTAATGTGAAATCACACCCACGTCAAGTTGCCAGGCATTGTAATACCAAGACATGCGCAACAGTCCGATAGCGTCCAATCCTGGAAAATACTGCAATACAGAGATTTTGGAAATGCAAAAAGGGCCAGCTCTCAGACCAGCGATACGCCATCTCCATACTTACAGGAATGTATACGCCTCCTAGCTAAGTTTTGAAAAAACTACGAGTAAACTATCTCCAAGCCACACTTTGAAATGGACCTTCATGTTCAGTGTAGTTTTAATGCTACCTCTATTTCAATAGACCGCCATGATTTTTAAACTGTGCAACACTCTTGATACGAATAAAGATGTTCAGTGCAAGTTTTTCTGCACCCCTCTTAACTGCATTTTAATACTTTAACCATACCAAAATTTAAATGCGGACAGAGCCATCTCCAAAAGGACCTGCCCTCAACAGCCCTCTCTCAGCTCCTGCAAACTGAAGGCTGTGGTTTCCTGGAGGGAGTCTGTCCATCTCGCCTTCCTCTTCTCCTGCTACAAGAAAGGGGTGTATGTATTCCCGTTCTCTCTCTCCGGGCGAGCAATGCCCCTCCTCTCCGGCGGGGGGCGGAAGAGCGCAGTTCTTTCCCGTCCGCTCTTTCGCGCGCTCTCGCTCTCATCATAGCGCCCAATAGTGGGGACGGGAGGAGGCGGGACTTCCTCTCCGGCCCGGGGTGGGCCGGATATCCGCTTGGCTCCGCCGGATGTTGACAGTTGGAGAGGCCGGGCTGAGGTGAGTGGGGGGGGAATGTCTGTTGCCCCCTCCCCGCCGAGCTTCGGGGGGTGGGGCAAGTGCCTTTCATGGGGTGGGGGTCCCTCGACACAAGCGAGGGGGGGCTGGTTTCTTCTCTGAGGGCCGCCCCTTTTTTCCTCCTCCTTCATGGAAACTGGGGGGGGGGGGTGGCTTCACACACACACCCCACAGAGGGTAGGATCGATGGGTGCGTCCCTCAGGGCTGTGGGGGGAACGGTGTGTGTGTGGGGGGTCACCTTTTGGGAAGCCCCCCCCCTTCGCCCTGCAAAGCAGCCTTCAGCCAAGCCTCTCCCTTGGTGGGGGGGGGGAGGCGGGTAGCCATTCACGTTTTGTGGTTGCTGCTACTACAATTCCCATAGTAGCTGGCTGGGGGATTCTGGGAACTGTAGTCCGAGGGTCTGCAGCTCTGGGCGAAGCACTCTTGTTAGGCCCAGCAAGATACCCGAGTGCTTTACCTCTGTAGGAGAGGAGCTGCCCCGACTCTGCCGGGGGGGGGAGTTTGCTTGTGCTTTTATTTATTTGTTTATTTGGTTATTTTATTTGAAGTATTTGTACAAAAAAAACAAACCCTCGCCTTTCTCCTCCAAAAGGACCCAAGGTGGCATTCCTCCTTGAAAGGCCATGCTTGAAAGCGGGAGGCCATGAGGGGGTTCCCATCAGAAAAAGGCGATGTTTAAAGACTCTTTAGACTCTTTTGGGGTGACCTTAAAGGGCAAGACGGGACACACACACCCCCAGAAACGGCGTTTTCCCCCCCCCCTTCTCTCCTCTCCTCTCCACCTGCTCCAACCCTCCAGGTTCTTTCTTTCCCCTTTGAGGCTGCAGTGGAGTAAAGGGGAAGGGAGGGGGATTTGTTTGGGGGGGGTGTCAAGCAGCAAGAGGGAAAAGCATTGGCCTTTGAGACAGGATTAAAGTCCAGGTATCGTTTGGTGCTTATTTTGAATGGGTTCTTTTATTTATTTATTTTATTTATATCCCGCCTATCTGATCGGTTAAGACCACTCTTTTAGTGTTGTTTTAATGTTAAATAATTATAATAATTATGGGCCTGAATGAGTCAATTCTGATTTATTCAGAATTATTTCCCCAGTAGAGCGTACTGAGAGGGGGGTCTAACCTTCCCTGCCATGAGAAGCTGGCCCAAGGCTGCCCAGGCTGGCTCATCTCCCAGAAAGATGCACAGTCAGGGAATCGAACTCCCAACCTCTGGCTCCACAGCGTGGCTTTGTGTACAAGGCATGTTGAGGTTGAACAAGCGAATGGAGTTCTTACACAGCAGATTTGTGGTGTTTTGGAGGAAAAGGGGTTTCTCAAAAACCAGCTTCTCACAATCCCAGTTATAAATGGATAAAATGAATACTGGGGGGACTTTTCCGAGTATTGCAAAAATATTTCTCCATTGATGCCGTCTTAACTTGCTCTAGTAAAAAGAAGCTTCTCTTAGGGGGATTTCTTCGTGGGATCCCCCCCCCCAAGCACTTGGCTTTCGTGTCAATGTCATCTCCTCTTTTCTCCCTGCCTTGCCTCTTGAAGGCTTAGACCCTCTTCCCCTTTTCATCATGGCGGAGGACAACGAAGAGCTGCCAATGGATGAAGAGATTCTGGCTCCTGCTGAGGACAACCTGGAACAGCTGGAGAACGGCAGCCCCGCTGAACGCAGTGGCCACGTGGCTGTGACCGACGGGCAGTGTATGTTCGTTTGGGGGGGATATAAGGTGAGTGGGAGGGGGAAGGTGGTGCTTTGAAGTGCAACAGGTGGGAAAAGGAAGCAGAGCTGTGTCCCTTGACCTCTTCCCCCTACTCCCACCCAGAAGATGCAGGGGATATAAAGGGAACGGATGCAAGATGGTGGGGAGGCTTGGTGTGGGTTAAGACAGGCTTGCTTTCCAGGTGCCTTCCTCATCTAAAATAAAAGCCTAGAAACCCCATGCGTCGGTGATGCATTTCTGGTTTTCCAGAAAACAGGGGAAAAAGAATGAGCAGCAAACGTGCAAAAATTTGAAACACTAAGCAAAAACAACAACAAAAAAACCCAAGGATGAAATGTTTCAAAGTAATACACTAGTTTTAGTCACATGGATGGAATGAATCAATACACGTATATTAGAAAAGAATGCATGACTGAATTCCATTCAGAGCACCACAAGGAGTTGAAAAGACAATTTCATTTGGAGCACCTGATGCTAATGAAATGCTGTGACCTGTCCTTCCAGATATAAACCAGGTGATTCAGTCTACCTATAGGGCTGCTTCAGTCATATTGTTTTGGAACATTTCCCCATGATTTCATCATGTTCGATTTTATGTACATTGCTGGCCCATGGGTCTCTTTTTGAAAACAACTGCCAAGAGCCTTGTGGCGCAGTGGTTAAACCGCTGTACTGCAGCTAAAACTGTGCTCACGACCTGGGGTTCAAATCCCAGGTAGCCGGCTCAAGGTTGACTCAGCCTTCCATCCTTCCCAGGTCAGTAAAATGAGTACCCAGCTCGCTGGGGGGGGCAATGTGTAGCCTGCATAATTAACTTGTAAACCGCCCAGAGAGTGCTTGAAGCGCTATGGGGCGGTATATAAGCAGCACGCTTTGCTTTGCTTTGCCATCTCTAGAAGCAGAGCCTTTAATGGACTGTGGCACCAAGCTTGCAGAATAGTGTCTGCCAGGAAGATGTTCAGGAAATGAGCAGAGTAGACCCTTGGTCTAGATGCGTGGGATAGAAATCAAATAAATTAAATAAATAAATAGAACTGCTAGTCCTTTTGCGCACCTGGCTGTCCTCTGAGGTCCTCGAGGGGGAGGCTCAGCTTCACATCCCAGCTTTGTCAAATGTACACCTGGTGGGGACACGAAGTAAAGGCTTTCCCCGCCACTGGCCCATGCGGGGGAACTCCTTCTCCCAAGAGGCTTCGTTAGAGCCTCCTTTGTCAGTCTTTCAAGGTTTTATGGGGACAATTCTTAAGACGTGTTTACCCTCTCAGGTTTGTTGTCCGCACTGATTCGTATTGATTAATTGAGGGATGGCGGGTTTGTTGCCTCTTTCTTTATACGCCTCACTCGTTTGCTGATGCACTTTAGTGTTTGTTCTGCTGCGATGCTGTTCTTCTTTATCATGTTGATTTTTGATGTATTTTAAGTCTTCCGTTGTGCTCTGCCTTGAATGCTCTTTTGGGCAGACACAAGTTTTAAATTCGAAGAAAAGAGCCTGGAATTTGGCACATTTTTGGAAGCAATGTTCGCTCCCTCCCTTTGTGTTACTGCCCAGGTTGCTTTTATTGAATTGGGTGAATATATTTTATAAGTAGCACTGAAAATATTTACCTTTGCTGTTGTCAGACATCTGTTGGCTCAGTGGTTTGAAAGACAAGGGTTTAGATAAATTAAATAAATAGAATTCTGTGCCTAAATATATTCCAGATGTTGCCAAGTTTGGCTTACTTCTTACGATTTAAATATTTGAGGGGTTCTTAGCAATGCTGGCTTTTTAAAAAGAACTGAGGATGCATTTAAATTGTTAAATTTAATAATGTCTTTTTCTTTCTCTTTCTATTTCTTTCTCTATTTCTTTTTCTTTCTGTATTTCTTTTTCTTTCTCTATTTCATTCTCTTTTTCTTTCTCTTTCTATCTATTTTTCTCTTTTTCTTTCTCTATTTCTTTTTCTTTATTTCTTTCTCTTTTTCTTTATCTTTCTATCTATATTTCTCTTTTTCTTTTTCTTTCTCTATTTCTTTCTCTTTCTCTTTCTTTTTCTCTTTCTCTATTTCTTTCTCTTTTTCTCTCTCTCTTTTCTCTTTTTCTCTTTTTTTCTCTTTTTCTTTCTCTCTCTATTTCTTTCTCTTTTTTTCTCTCTTTATCTTTCTTTCCTGCTTCAGAATGCACAAGTGAGAGATTTTAATGACTTCTATCTGCCCAGAGATGAAATCTGGATCTATAACATGGAAACTGGAAAATGGTAAAATACTTAAATGACATCGTAAAATTCACCTACTCCACCTTTATTTCTTGGGGCTGCTTTTATGTCATGTTTATTTTTACTGTTTTTTTTTCCTGATATTTTAATTGCTTTGTTTCTTGTTGTCAACAGTCCCGAGAATTTTGTTTTCAGGCAACCAGTAAACACTATAAAAAGTTGAGTGCCATAAGATGCACAGCAAGTTCCTAGGAACTGGGGAGCTTAATCTAAGTGTTTAAAATAAGTACTGTGCAAGATTCCTATTATGTAAATATTCCTATGTAATTTCCTAAAAGTAACTTTCAGCAGTAAATTGCTTCCACTTAGGGTGTCTGCACTGGTTTTTATATTTGGACATGAAGTCATGTTGTTGGTTGTTCGATAAGAAGAGACAGCACTGCTAAAAGTTACATTGGTGGGGTTACTCTCGGCCAACATAACTCGCAAGATTCTGGCTGTTACCGGTTTATAAGAGCGGAGTTTCATTTAACAGAACCCCACTTCTGTTGCCAGGACGAAACACAGAACGTCCGGGGATGTTCCCCCTTCCATGTCGGGAAGCTGTGCCGTCTGCCTGGACCACGTCTTGTATCTGTTTGGAGGGCACCACGCGCGTGGGAACACAAACAAGGTCAGAGCCTCGACAGGGTGGATTTCTTTGGGACAATCCTGTCCCTGTGGGCGCCAGAGGTGCCCACGTATACGCTGGCCCCATGTTCTCTTTTGCGCTGCTAGTGGCAGCTGCATCAGAAGAAAGAAAGGATGGGGTGAACTTCCTTGTTCCCCAAAGACAGCGGTGGAGATGAAACAACCGTTGCCGTAGTTCAAATTAAATTTGTTAAAAGATCCACCTCAGAAACCAGGGATCAAAAGGGAGTTGGTTCTTCAAGAAAAATTCTTACTCTATGTATGTCTTAAAACATTTATACCTCCTCCTTCAGCTGGAAAGTCCCCCTGAAAAGCTTACAAAGAATAAAACAAAGCAACCGCCACTGTCAGGTTGATAATGGAAAAATTATGCTACCCAGAAAGGAAAAAAGAGGGGTGAAAAGAAAGTGAGGGGAAAAGGCACCCATGTCTAATGTCCGATGTGGCCTGTATTTGTTCCCTCTTGCGTTTGAGAGAGGCATTTATGTAGGGTTGTGAATTCATGGGAGGACCCCTTCGGCAATGACCTCGGTCGGTGTGAAGCGAGGGTTCCAAAATGTGTTTTTCCAGCTGCTGGAGGGCCCCTTTGCCCAATCGGCAGGCTTTGGAGAACGTGCCCGAGGAAGGCAGTGTGGGTGACGAGGAAAGGCCTGGCTAGAACAACAGGCCCCGCCTGAGTCAAGCGAGTCAGGCCGCGGTGAAAGTGCCTCGAGGACTTCAGTGACTTGGCCTCCCAAGGCGCTTGGTTGGCTTTGAATGGAAGGGGGAGCCCTCGCCATGCGTTCAGGACTCGGAGGGATTCATGGCAGGGCCTGGTTCGAATGGGCTCTGTTTCCTTCTCGCAGTTCTACATGCTGAATTCCAGGACGAAGGACGAGGCCTTGCGGTGGGTCAGAGTGGAGTGCCAGGGGGTCCCCCCATCGTCAAAGGACAAACTCGGAGTTTGGGCCTATAAAAACAAGTAAGCAAGCCATGGATTCCGGGATTTGGCCTAAAGACCTTGTTAGCACTTGACTTGGATATTTTGGATATTTTCTTCTGTGTTGTTGTTGTTGTTGTTATTACAGACCTCTGTCTTAGAGCACTTGACTTGGATATTTTGGATATTTTATTCTGTGTTGTTGTTGTTATTGTTACAGATCTTTGTCTTAGGGTGACCCTATGAATGAATGCTCTCCAAAATACCCGGTCCTCCCCAGCCCTGCTCGGGTCTTGTAAACGCAAGGGTCCGGCTTCCTTGAGGGAATAAGCGCTTGCAAACTCAAAGCTGTGGCGTTCTTTATGGAGTCCATCCAACTCCTGTTCAATTTTCCCCTTTTTCCTGATGTCCTCCACCTCTCCCACCTTCGTTGTCTTCTCTTTCCCGCGTGAGGAGAATTCTAGAATGTTTAATCCTCTAGACGGAAAGTTTTGTTTTAAGCCTTTATTGGTGCATTCGTGTTTTGCCACCCTCTGCCTGTAAGGGAAGGTGGCATCCAGATGGAAAATCACACAGAGGGAATCTCAAGGATGGTCAGAAGTTCCGTAAGGAGAACAGGGTTGGAGCTGAGCTGAGAAATGGCACCTAATGTGCCAGCCAAGCGATAGGACTCTGCTTTCCTGCAGGCTCTCTCACTCTCCATGCGTTCCGAAAGGTCAACAGCTAAGTTCTCCTCTCGACCTCTGCTTGCAGTCCATTCCATGGCTGTGGAGTGGACCTGGCGGTGTCTGGGAGCTTGTTTTAATTGTCAGAGCTGAGAGATGCTTTGAGTAAAAGCGCTCCCCATCTGACACCAGTGACCATAGGTGGGGACTCTTGAGAGCCATAGGTCTTCCCTCGAGGATCTACAACTTAACCTTTAAGCCTTACAATGTAAGTTCTGGGGAGGCCTGGACGCTGCCCACCTTGGCTGAAGCGGTAACAGAAAATGGGCAGCTTCCTTCTTTCTTGGAAAGGGGAAATCTTTATTGGGTGCTCATTGATCACTAGGGTAACATCTTGCTTTTTGTTGTTGATCCTCCCACCCCTTCTGTTGATCAGGCTCGTCTTTTTCGGTGGCTACGGCTATTACCCTGAAGGGGAACAGATTGGAAAATTTGAGTTTGATGAAACCTCTTTTTGGGTAAGTCCTCTGTATTTCCCCGCCTACAATTTCTTCTGATTTGGGGACTGCTGCTGTGAAGAAAAACTGCAGACCTGCCAAGGTCTTCTTGCAGAAATGTATTAATTTTTTTTCTTCCTATTTATAACCTGCAACATCCATGAAACTGCTTTGAAAATGCTTTAAAGTAGGGGTCGTCAACCCCTGGTCCGCGGCCCAGTGCTGGTCTGTGGGCTCGCCGGAACTGGGCCGCGGATACGGATCTCCACCACCCCACCACTCCCACGCATGGAGCTCGCTTCTCCCAGCCTCAAAAAGGTTGGGGACCGCTGCTTTAAAGGACACAGTAAAACCCTCTGAGGCAGAATGTCATCAGACGAAAAGCCTGCACGAACCAGAATTATTCCCAGTGCTAAATCTGCTCTAGATGCCCAAAGAGGTCTCTGTTTTTGTTCAAGAATTCTGGTCTTCCTCGAGGATGGAACGATCACGTGCATGTTCTGGACACGGAGATGTTCACGTGGAGTCAGCCCGTCACCACGGTAAGTCTCAGGGAGGCTTCTGTTGGGCACCCCAAATACGTTTTCCTCTGCTGGAGGAAGATGCCCTTTCTCCTCCTGTGGCCTTGGCTGAAGTCTTTCTGCCTCTCAGTCACCCACATCGTGTGGATGCTCGTGAGAAGGAACCAGTTGAAAGCTCGCTGCTTCCTTTGGCCGCCTCCCTTCCTCATGAGGACTGGACTTTTTATTCAGAAAAGCTTTTAGAAATGGATGAGGTGCTTCAGATGAGGGGCTTTTAACCAGGGGGTGTTTTTTTTTAAAAAAATAATCCAGTTTTAAAATTGCTTTTAGTTTAGGTTTTTTCTTTTCGGTGCTATAATTCACTAAATGTACTTTACTATGATTGTCTCACGAGCTTGTCTCTTCCATCTTGCAAGTGGCCTTGAATCTCAGATTTAGAGGAAAGGTGAACGATGCGAATCGGAGAGATAGAGTCCCCTTCTCTGGAGAAAGGCGGCATATAAATAAAATAAATATACAGTGGTGCCCCGTATAGCGAGGTTAATCCGTTCCGGATTAACCTTCGCTATGCGAAAACATCGCTGTACGGGCAAGGAAAGCCTATTGGAACGCATTAAACTTAGTTTAATGTGTTCCAATAAGCATCCAAACTTACCCCTCCAGCGATGTTTCGCGTCCGGCGGCCATTTTGGAGCCGCCGATCAGCTGATCGGCGGCTCCAAAATGGCCGCCAGACGCCCCAATCGTCGCAAAGCGAGGGCGGCGATTGGGGCAGATCCGTATAGCGATCCCCAAAAAGGGATCGCTATACGGATTCTTTGTTAAACGGTGCCCTCGTTAAGCGAGGCACCACTGTATATATATATAATAGGGAGTTGACCCGGAGGCCCAGAGAGCTTTTTCTTCCAGGAAGCCATCAGCTTCTGAACAGCTCTAGCAGGCCCTATTTTCTCTCACCATCCTTTGGATCTTCTCCCCCTCTCTCCCCTTCCTGCCTCCTGCTTTCTGCCTAATCCTTTCTGAAATCTTGGCCACAGGGTAAATCGCCATCGCCCCGAGCAGCCCACGCCTGCGCCACGGTTGGCAACAGAGGCTACGTCTTTGGAGGCCGATACCGAGTGAGTGAAAGACCGGGGAAAGAGCAGGGGTTGTTCTTCCAAGCGCCAAGGGGCGCTCACCCTGTCTCTCTCTCTCTCTCCCCCCCTTCTCAGGAGTCTAGAATGAACGATCTCTACTACCTTGACCTGGACACCTGGGAGTGGCATGAAATGTACGGTGGGCCTTTCCTCTGCTGTATTGTCCAGGGGCTCTGTGTCGCGCATGCAGGCACGCTGGTCCTGCTTTCGAGCCTTCCCTTTTCTTGCATGAAGCCAGTGAGAGGAGGGAGAGGGGTTGCCCTCCCAGACGTGGGGTTCCCTCGTGTAGCACCCAACCCAGCCCAGCCCAGCCCCTCCCATGTCTAGAAACTGAGCAGGCTTTTCTGTGTCCTGGCCACAAAACAGCCCTCGTCAGCCTCGTTTCTGTCCCCTTCCCTAGAATCGTGCAAGGCCTTAGTCCCGTTGGCCGTTCCTGGCATTCGTTAACTCCCGTTTCGTCCGATCATCTCTTCCTCTTTGGCGGGTTCACCACAGACAAGCAGCCGCTCAGTAAGTCACAAAAAGCCTTTCAGCAGAATCAATCAGATTTGGGCGTGGAGTGGGGTTTCACTGGCAACAGGACCTCTCACGGGTGGGCTCAGGCTCCAGAAAGCCAGATTGAGGCTGAACGTCAGGGAAACAAGCACACATTCCCCATCTGTAGGAAAACATTTATCCTTCTCCTTCCCGTTCCACAATGAGTCACTTCTTCCTCCCCACTCCGACAATTCCATGTCATTGAACAGATAGTGTGGACTAAGGAGAGGAGGGTTGGGGTGTGTCCTGGAAATAAATGTCAGGGTGGTGGGGTTGAGACGAAGAGGTCGTGTTTCCGTCTTGAGCTGCGGTGGCTTAAAAGCCACCTGCCTCAGGTAGGAGGCTCTGACAGCAGGTCCTCTTCACACCTTCCAGCGACACCCGTAAGTTTGTCCCCCGATCACACGGACCCTATACATGCTGTTAACCATGATTTCTGTGCCTCGTAGGTGACGCCTGGGTCTATTGTATCAGTAAAAATGAATGGATACAGTTCGAGCACAATTATACAGGGAAGCCCAGGTAAGGAACCCGCCGGCTGTGACGACGATGTCCAGACGGCTCCCCGTCCTTCCTCTGACTTCCTTTCCTTGTCAGCCAGGGCTTGGCTCTGCGTGGATGGCAGCCGGTTGGTCTCCTTGCAGGGTTTCGGCTTGAGGGCTCTGTCCAATCTTCCACTATTGTTATACGGCATGCATCCAGCGGGTGATCTACCGAAGAGGGTGGGATGTGAGGTCTGCTCCGCAGGCTAAAGCGTTTCTCTGTGGAACGGTCTTGTCCCTGACGTTTGTGTTTTCGGCCCTTCCCGTGTTCCCTTTGCAGGCTCTGGCACACAGCCTGTGCGAGCGACGAGGGAGAGGTGATCGTGTTTGGGGGCTGCGCCAACAACTTACTGGCCCATCAGAAAGCCGTAAGCCCTTTTCCCCTTCTCTGCGTGTGCTCTCTGAGCTACTGGGGAAGTCATTTTTTAAAAGCCATGTATTATTCAACTAGTTATAAGAAGCTCCCTCCCCGAACATGCAAGTCTACTCTGTGTGTGTGGACATACAGTAGGTATGCTTTGCTATATTGCTTGCTTATATGAGATGGATGGACAGACTCGTCGAAGCGACCAACATGACTTTGACCCAACTCCGGGAGGCGGTGGAAGACAGGAGGGCCTGGCGTGCTCTGGTCCATGGGGTCACGAAGAGTCGGACACGACTAAATGACTAAACAACATTACTCGCTACTTTTTCATTATTTCTTGTTTAAAAAAACAACAACCCCCAAAAGCTTAAAACAGAAGGCCTAATACTGGGCAAGTGTCTTTTCAAATGCCTTGTAAAGCCCTTTAAATGGAACTAAAAGGTAAATGGAAGATGTTCCTCATTACCATAAGGGAGAATGACTTCTTGTTTTGCTTTCGAAATGTAACTTCATCATACTCTCTTTAGCCTAGAAAAACAGTCTGTTTTCAGGTAGATCTGTGGCGTATGATGTGTGTTAGCTTCTGTGTAAGCTCTGGAACAGCTTTTGACATGCAGGGGCCATGGGGGGGGCAAGTGCAGAAAGCAGTGAGAACCCCCCGCCTGCCCTGCCCGCTTAGCCTCCATGACACACACACACACACACACACCGTCCCACATGACTTCATGCAGTCCACGGGCCAGTTCTGGAGCCATTTACCCCTTGGTTGGATTGAGACTGAGCGGGACCACTTTCAATCCAAGGCCACTTTCTTCTGAATTACCCCTTGGTTGGATTGAGACTGAGCGGGGCCACTTTCTTCTGAACCCCATGATCCTGCTGTTTGCCATGAAGGGAAATGCTGTTGGTATTAGCTAAAATAATGATGGGAAAAAAAACGAGTGTCATCTTGTGGTTTCCACAGAATCTCGGTGTGGAGGGGGTGGGTGGATAAAGAACTTCTGGCTGACCTGTAAGACCCGCTTGGTGTGCGCTTGGCCCTTGCATGGAACAAGATTCAGTATGAATTGCTGCATCTCTTTCTCTGCCGCCCCCGCCTGCAAAGTAATGAGATACTGACGTATGAACTTCAGTACTAATTGGTGTTATTGTTTTTCCTCCCCTTCCAGGAACACAGTAATGAAATCCTTGTGTTTTCTCTTCAGCCCAAATCCCTCGTAAGGTACAGTCTGAAAACAACACTTATCTCGTGCCCCTTAACCTATTGAATATATAAAGTGAGAAATGGGGGGGGGAATGGGCTTTCTTGTGGGATGATGCCATCAGGGAAGTGAGGCTGATGTTATTCCACTGGAAGCCACCTTCCCCACCTGGATGTCTGCGAGAGGGGGTTCAGCCCGGTCTGTCTGTAGACGGGGAGCCTATTCTGTCCACCGGCTGGTGCTGTGCTCTGGCAGGCAGCTCAGCGAGAGCCTGGCAGCTGTGGTGGTGTGATGTGGAACCAGAAGGCAGTTCTCAGCCCATCGAACAGTGTCCATAGTTTGGCCAGCCCAGCTCCCATCAGCCCCACCCATCGTAACTGGTGACCCAGCTCAACTCAAGGGTGTGCCAGACTGGGAGAGGCTGTGCTCGACAATCGACAAGGATGTCAGTTTGCAGAAAACAGCGTCATGTGCACCTGCATCCCACTCCTGGCCTGAAAGGAGAGGAATCCCCTCTCTGGTCAGCTGAAAGACAGCAACAGGCCCTGCACCGTTTTGTAGAACGGCCAGTCACAGTGTTCGGGGGGCAGGAGGGGGAGTTTTACGTTTGAAGTATTACTTTTTTTCCTACTATGCATCTATCCATCCATATAGAGACAGACAGACATTTGTAAGAATGCTAAGATGTTCCATAGTAAGCTAGCATTTAGTAACTTTGGTATGAAAAAGACATCATACCTTGAATGGTTCTTAAACTTTTCACTCGAGGGAAAGTTGCTGGAGACATAACGCAGCTGCTCCCTTTTGCTTCCTTGGAGAAGGATGGCCATTTGCACAGCCAGAACTTAAGAAAAAAGGGGCTTTCCCACCAAAATGACTGGAGAGGAGATTTATCCCGAGGGATTCAGAACTTTGAACCAATCCAATTGAAATCTAAACCAACTAAATGGGGCTACTCAACGCTCTCACCATTTTTTGAACCTGACACGAGACCTGCTACAGGCAGGCTGGGCTCAGAGGCTTCTGAAGACAATCTGCTGGGAAAAGGATGCGTTCCCACGGTAGCCATAAGAGCATCAGCCAGATCTGACGTAAAGGTAAAGCCTGTTCCATTTCAAAAACCTCACCACGGGCTGGTAGGCGTTAAACAGAGAAGGTGTATCCGGTTGTTGTGGTGGTGGTTGTTTCTGCTGCACAGTTCAGGACTGCAAGTGGCTCAGGAAAGCGAGCAGGAAAGGAAGGCGCCAGGAGTTTCTTCCAAGCAGATGCTCAGCCCAGGAATTTGATTTCCGCTCGTATTCCTACGGTGAGCTCACGCCTACAAAACGCTCACACACACGTCAACACATTTCCTGCCAAGTTTTTTTAGAATAAAAAAAGGTTTTTGTTAAAAAAATTGGTTTGTTTAAACTAGAGAAAGTCAGAAGCACTTGGTGAGAAACTGCCAAATATCACCTGGCAATTTACCCATCGGTCTTTTATCGGCCTTTGGTCACCTCTGTACGGGGAGTCTCAACCCCTTTCAAATGTGAGTCCGCTCTCGGGGCAAACACAGGAGAGCTCCCCTGAAACCATGCTCTACTTCGACTTCTGCAAATTAAGAACAGAATATAGAACAGAATAACACTTTATTGTCATGGCATGTGCAACGAAATCACCAGAGTGCTATCCAGACAGCTACAACAGCACTTTATTAACAAAACTGGAAGGGGCTCCGGTGATACAGTTCAAAAGTGCAGGGGGCGATGCTAGCAGCCGCGGGGGTGTCACTTCTTTTTCACATTCAGGAGATTAGGGGCCGATACCTTCACCTTCCCTGGAATGTTTCTGGACAGATCTGTATCCTGGACAAAAGGACCACACAGGGATATTAATTAGATCCACGGAATAAAACGCCAATCTGCTAACTGGAGACCCGGACAGATACAAGGGACACGCGATAAATGACAGGCGAACTTGACATTGGCTGCAAAATAGGGTGTCAGGGCTTCTTTGAAGAATCCAAAATTCTAATAATACTTCCATCAGGGCAGAGGGAAAATTTATGCCCTTACT